AAAAAGAATCATAGAATTCACCAACTCAAGTTTCCATCTAGTACAGACCCAACTCACATGTCATCACTCCTGGGAGGAACCCAGGGTGAGTCACCAGCTCTCGTAAATACGCTTTGTAAGACGCTCTGTCGAGAAACTCGGGGACTGTGTGGCCACGGCCACATCCCAGCATGCAGAGCCGGGACGCAGGCACACACACTTTTCCCCTAAGCAGCCCATTCCATTTTGGGACAGTTCTGCTCCGTATCAAGTCTTTGCTGATAATGATCAACATTTTTGTCCTAATTATACCCCCAGCGCCATATTTTCCACATGACACTAAAAATACTTTAAAATGCATATCCTGAGTCTTAACCATTTGTATTAAGGCACAGTTTAATTTAGGATTAAGGGGGAAGAGGGTTTGCCACCCCAAAAGATGCCTCTTTGGGATCCGATTCTTTTAAACTGGCTATTTTTAAGAACCAAAAAACTCAGAAAAACCTTTCACCTCTCCCCTAGATGCCTAAAAGAATTTAGATAGAGGACCTGCTCCAGGACCATACAGAGCCACAGTGACCTGGTCATCCTTCTAAGCATATGGGTGGAAACATCTGCCAGATCTGTGCATAAATCTTAATTACAGTTGTATGATTTAGGACAAAAGCTTAATCTTATGCCCCAGTTTCTTTGCTTGTGAAATGATAGGAATAGCTAGCGCACAAGATTATTGGAAGACTTATATGAGAGCCAGACCAGTATGGCTAAGTGATTGAGTGTCAATCCATGAACCAAGAGGTCACTGGTTCGATTCCCGGTCAGGGCCCATGTCGAGCTTTTGGGATCGATCCCCAGTAGGGGAAGTACAGGAGGCAGCCGATAGATGATGTTTCTATCTATCCCCTCTCCCCTCCTCTCTCTAAAAATAAATAAAAAACATTTTTTAAAAAAGAATTATATGAGAAAATGTATTCTAAAACCCCCTGCACAGCATTATCATCATTGAATATCCCACAGTTTTTAAAGATCTTCCTAAAGAATGGTACAACAAACCGTACACAGAGCCCCAGAGTGGCCACCCAGGGGAAAGTTCTTTCCTTTTTTTTGTTTTTGTTTGCTTGTTTTTAGCAGGTACACTGGAAATAATGAAGTCCCACCACAGGGATTGTCATAGGGTTTTCTTTTGAACCAGCATCCAAAAGCTCCTACCTGTTCAATTTGTTTCTAGATTTAATTCCAGGATACAATAATATTCTTTTTTTAAAAATTGATTAATAAGCAGGCAAAGATTTATTGAAATATCTGGCCAGAGCAGCCACGAGAGCACCACACGCAGGTGGTCTCCACGCGATTGCTACAATAATATTCTTATTGGTTTGGAGTAATTATCCCAAAATAACAACACTCTAAAAATTTTTAACCCTATTGTGTAATTCATTAAATTTGTCATCTACAAATTTAATTAAATGCTTTCTTAAGTCCTTGATAAAAACACCAAGCTGTTCAACCCATATAGCCCAGCAAACAATATTAGAACCTTGTCACATCTTTCATCATTTCCTTAATGACATGAACTTACTCTGTAAATGTCTTTCTAAAATCAAGACAGAGTGCAACTATGGCATCGCTCTAATTCACTCCTAGTAACTTTATCATAAAATATAGATAACTTGACATGAAATAGTTTTAGAAGACTCATACTCATTTTAAGTGTCAATACCTTTCTTTTTGAAGTGTCCACAAAACATCTATTTAAATCGCTGGGATATCCCCCAAAAACTTCTCTCCCCGCCCCCTGTGATCAATATCCTACTTCCTGGTAAGCAGTTCTAGTATCTGTCATTTCCCCATTTGTGACATTTGTTTTCGTCTGATACCCTTATATTTTTACCACAACTTCTCAAGAAATTTTTAAATATATCTTCATTGATTTCAGAGAGGAAGGGAGAGAAAAATAGAAACATCAATAATGAGAGAGAATCATTGATCAGCTGCCTGCTACCCCTTCTTCCCCTTTTACTGGGGATAGAGCCTGCAATCCGGGCATGTGCCCTGACTGGGAATCGAACCGTGACCTCCTGGTTCATAGGTCAATGCTCAAATACTGAGTCACACTGGCTGAGTTAAAGTACTTTGATTTTAATAGAAACAGATAACCAGCATACATCTGGGAGCTTACAGATAAAAGTAACCAAATGTGGTTATCTGAAGATACAAATATTTGGCCTCATGTAGACCCAAAACCAACCAAACCACCCGATTTTTATCCAAAGGAATCTCCTTGGTTGGGGGCTTGGCATCACATGGATTGACTTACTCTGTGCATGAGAGTGTTTAGGAAGAGCCAGAGGATTTCAGTACACTCCCATCTTCACCCCACTCCTCATCTCCCCATCTCCCCCCCTCTCCTCCTCCTTCCTCCCTCCATGCTACTCTAGCTCCTTTGGGGCAGGTTCAGCAATTTTCCAGATAACCCTAATGGCATCTCCCCAGGAGTCCTGTGCTCTGCAAGAATCCAAAGGTGCAGGGGTGTGGCCCGCTCGTGGCCAGCGCCAATCAGAGCTGGGAAGGGGCAGAAGCCAGAGCTATAAGGAAACGGGTCACTGCCCCAGGCTGGCAGCAGCAACTGCTGTGCTTGAGCTTTTCTTCTCAAATCTTTGCTCTCTTCCTGACCCACACGAACCATCACTCCCAAGAGCAATAAAGTGGGCAATAAAGAAGGGCTGACTCACATGGTGGGGTAAGAATTCCCTGGCAAGAGAAGAGGAAAGACCCGGTGCTTTCATGGGACAAAAGAAACAGACTTTGAAAATGAGATTTTTTTTAAAAGTCTGACATTTGACCAATTGCCCCTGGATGCCTCACACCAAAAATCCTGCCCCTCTTTTTTAACCCTTCTTCCTATTTTAAACCCCCTTCTTTTCAAGGTGAGGTAAGAGTAAGAAGGGGGAAACCATGGCTGCAGAACCAAATCAAATGGGAGCTTGGACTCATGGGAGCTGGTGGAGGTGTTGGCTGAACCCACTTTGGGGTTTGGCTGGGTTCTGGAAACACCCATTGAACTGGCCACTTCTTCCTTCCCTGCAAACCAGATCCTAAGAAGAGTCTTCTACTGCCTGGAGTGATGACACTGTGACCTCTTGGCCTTAGTCACGTCTTCTCTCCCACCCCAGCCCCAGGGACTCCTCCTTTTCCTGGACAGTTCCCGCATCCCTAGTGTTATTTATCTGTCAGCAGCAGGGGGCGATCTGGCGCAGGAGAATGACCAGGTCAGCTGCCCGCCCTGCGGCTGGGTTGCTAATGACTTGCAGCTCCATCAACATAAAGCTAACTCTTCACAAAGGAGCATTGTCACTAAGCGTGTTCCTTTTCATTCTTGAAAGCTCCACTGCCTTAGCTCGCCCTCCCCCTGCCCTCCAGCTTTCGTGCTTGCTTTCTACCCTCTCCCAGCCTCTTAGAAGCAGCAGGAAATGAACACGGTCCACATGGAGAAAAACAAACCCCATGGCCTTGCTGAGGGAAACTGCAGGGGAAGGACCAAGTGGCATCAGCAGCCGCAGGAGCTGAAGGCAGCTGTGTGTGTGTGGTGTGTGTGTGTGTGTGCGTGTGTGTGTGTGTGAGAGAGAGAGAGAGAGAGAGAGAGAGAGAGAGAGAGAGAGAGAGAGGGAGAGAAGTATGTGTATCCAGGATAGCAGTGTTCTCCAAACTTTCCTATAGAAAATAACCACTTGGACACTTATTAAAATACAGCTTCCTGGGCCTCACCCAGGAATTCTGATTTGCATTCTTAGCACACCCAAAGTATCCTCACATGGTCAACGGTGGACCTCATTTTCAGAAGCACGGCTATCCATCAAATGCACTGAACAGACTGTGGGTATCTAGGCCATCAGAGGGCGGGGAAGGCATCTTGAAGGAGGGAATTGCATTAAGATCTGAAAGGGGGAAATTTGAGTTCACCAGGAGACAAAGGGGAAAGGCCAAGAGAAGGGGCCACGTGAGTCTTGGGGTCTGAAGACATTTGGGGTCATGCTGAAATACGATGGAAAACGTTAGATGTCAACTTTAAAACGTGTGAGTGAGTCCATGCTTTTTAACACCCTTTTAGAAAGATGCAGGAGGAAACAGTTCTGGCTGACGTCATTCTGTCAGCAGCAGAGGTGGAAACCTATAGGGGCTGTGGTGGCTCAGAACCAGACTCTTCCAGGAAAGGCAGGATCAGCCTTCGGCTTCCTCTTCTCCCACTTCCAGCCTGCTCCCAGCCAATTACTCAGGTTGGAGTCACAGCCTCAAGGGGTGGCTGACTCACTCCTGCACACAGATGCCTGGGTACCGGTGGTGATTGGAGTTAGTGGGTAATGTGAGGCCCTTGTGACTCTATTGACCAGTGATTCTCAAACTTTAAAGCTCATGATCCCTTTAATTCTAAATAAATATAAACTCTTGCCCAGTCAGCGTAGTTCAGTGGTTGAGTGTCAACCTATGAACCAGGAGGTCACCATTCAATTCCTGGTCAGGTCACATGCCCAGGTTGCAGGCTTGATCCGTAGTAGGGGTGTGTAGGAGGCAGCTGATTGATGATTCTCTCTCATCATTGATGTGTCCATCCCTGTCTCCCTCTCCCTTCCTCTTGGAAATCAATAAAAATATAAAAAAGAAAGGAAGGAAAGAAGGAAGGAAGGAGATATTAATAAACTCCTTTTTTAATATATTTTTTATTGATTTTATACAGAGAGGAAGGGAGGGAGATAGAGAGTTAGAAACATGATGAGAGAGAGTCATCGATCAGCTGCCTCTTGCACACCCCCTACTGGGGATATGCCCGCAACCAAGGTACATGCCCTTGACTGGAATCGAACCCAGGTCCCTTCAGTCCCCAAGCCGACGCTCTATCCATTGAGCCAAACCGGTCCTGGCTAAACTCTTACACCTTCCTTGAACATGAGTTGAAACAATGTTTGGGATTAAAATATATTTTTTCAATTTATACTGATTTCCCTCTGTGGGAAGATTTGGGATTGAAGAACTGATTCAAATTCTGAGTCTGTCACTTGTCATCAGTTATTGACCAAACTACTGAACTTCTCTGTGCATCAGCTTTCTCATCTATGAAATAATAGTTGCTACCTCCTAGGATTGCTAACGCGATGCAGTGAGATAATGCATTTGAACTGCAAGATGCCAGACCTAAAATCTGCTTAGTCAATGCTCTTAACTTTTTTTTTAAAGGACCATAACCCAAAGCTGGTGTTTGACTATGTCACAGGCACCTCTCTTCCTCCCCCGTCTGCCTACTGATTATTTTCCCTTTTTCACCCTCAGAATGTTTTGGATGATGTTGCAAGTGCCTGGAACAAAAGCAGAAGGGAAGTGTAGGCGGGCCTGGAGGGCATGAGCCAGTCTCTTCACTCTGAGTCATCGTTCAGAAGGCACTGGGGCTGCCGGGCACCGAGGAGGGAGGTGAAGTAAAGGCCCTGTTTTCAGGAAGTTCAGCCTCTGATTGGGGAGCCAGGAATCATGCTTGGGAAAGAAAGCAGGATTCAAATCAGACTGGGGTGAGTATAACTACTGAGGGTGGACATCCTGGGAGGAAGCTCTCCCTTGAACAGATTTGACACAGAGATACCCTGTGGGTGATTTTAATCAACGAAGACTTTGTGCTGCTCTGCCTTTATTAGCAGATATTAGTTAGGGAGCTAGATATTAATAAAGGGAGGGAGCAGAGGAAATAAGACATTAAGCATCATCCACTGGGGGACATAGGCTTGCTCCCCTAGGAAGTGAGAGCTTCACAGGCTCCCCAAGAACCACTTGTGCTTCCCGCAGGTCCCTGGGGGGAGGGGAGGGGAGGGGCGGGAAGAACCATGAAGGGGGAGGTGAGCACGTGCACAGTGGGAGCCACAGCGGCCACCGGAGGCCCGTCAGTCCAGCCTGGGGGAAAGAACAGGCTGGTTAGGAGGTGGGCCCCTCCAAAGCCCATGAGAGCTTGGGAAGTTGATTTGTCATTTTGAAAAACCTCTGGTCCTTCCCAAGCCCAAGATAATATAATCCCAGCTAACAAAATGCCCCCCTCCCTTCGCCGCCTCACCCCCCCCCCCCCCCAACACTGGCTCATCCTGTTTGTTTGCGTGTTCTCCCTGAAGTGGCCCTGTGGCTCTGGCAGTCCCTGGAGCCCCGGGCAGACTGCTCAGGCTCCAAGTGCAGGCCTGGACACGGCGCCAGCCCGAGGGCAGCTGCGCAGGGAGCACAGACCGCGCTGGCCGATGAGGGAAAGGTTGAACTGAACCAGCCTTGACATGGCACACAGCTCTGCACGCTGGTCCTATTTCTGGGCCTGACGAAGGCAAGGCTGGACTTCTTCCATGCAGGCTGGACGGAGATGGGACATGGCATGGCAGGGGCACTCCTTTGATTTTGCATCTGGTACCACAAATACATCTTAGCACCGACCTCACTCTCCCCTGTGGGTCCCCGAAAATGCTTTTCTCACAACCCCGCCAGGGCCCCACTTCCACAGGCAGCACCATCCCCCTCCCCCAAGCACCTGTTCCTTTTATCTCTCCAGGGTTGCGCCCTCCGCCACTGCAACTGCCACAGCTACGCACACCCAGGTGCCTGCTCCTGGCCGCACTGTGATGCCCGTGGAACTGAGCACAGACCTCACACAGCCTCTCCATCGAGAACCCATTGCCACCCCTTCCTCTCGGACCTGCTGCCCTGCACTCATCTGGAGCTGGGGTTCCTCCACACCTTCCTTTCTTCTTTTTTCTTCTTTCTTCTCTATCTCAATGCAGCTCCTTCCTCTGATCTTCCCCCAGTCCTCTACCTCCTTCCACATTCTTTCAGCTGCAACCTGGGCGCTCATCATTTGCTGCCTGGTGGTTAAGGTTCTCTGTAAATTTTTGTTAACCAATAGTTACCAGATTGTTAACTCCTTAAAGGTAGATGTCTTTTTTTTTTTTTTAATATATATTTTATTGATTTTTTACAGAGAGGAAGGGAAAGAGATAGAGAGCCAGAAACATCGATGAGAGAGAAACATCGACCAGCTGCCTCCTGCACACCCCCCACCGAGGATGTGCCCGCAACCAATGTACATGCCCTTGACCGGAATCGAACCTGGGACCTCTCAGTCTGCAGACCGACGCTCTACCACTGAGCCAAACCGGTTTCGGCTTTTTTTTTTTTTTTTTTAATATAAAAGGTAGATGTCTTACTCTGTTGTCTACCAGCACTTAAAATATACTCCAAAAAGGAAATGAAATAAATAAAATGAAATAAATAATAAAGTAAAGTAAAATAAAATATACTCCATGCCCTGGCCAATTTTTCCCAATGGTTGACCCTTGGACCAAAGGGTCTCGGGTTCAATTCCCAGTCCAGGGCACGAACCTCAGCTGCAGGTTAAGTCCTCGGCCCCGGATCAAGGTTCATACAGGAGGCAACCAATTGATGTGTCTCTCTCACGTGGACGTATTTCTTCCTCCCTCTCTCTAAAAGTCCATGGAAAAAATACCCTCAGGTGAGGATTTAAAAAACAAAACAAAACTATCCTCCCAAAGTGACAGTTGAATTGCACCATAGATGAGTAACACTTCTTCCCCTTCAAGGCCTTATCCATACTCCTCCTTCCAACGCCTCTCCCAGAGAAGCAGGATTGCCTCTTCATTTACTGAGCAGGAAACTGAGGCCCGGAAAATAAAAGTAATTGGTCCAGAGGGGTGAGGAGTGTGAGTGCAGCTGAGGCCAATGTAGACACAAGCAGACCGTTAAATCCCTTTAATTCTCTCCTAAGAGATAATATCTTTAAATAAATGTGGATTTCAATTTATATTCTTAAACAAATAAGCAAACAAAATCACAAACGTGGCTGGAACTTTGGTTCTCCACCAAGAATTTTTTTTCTTTTTCTTTTTCCACCAAAGATTTCCTCCAAAAGAGGAAAGCGAAATTTAGCCTCGGAGAAAATGACTGCCACGTAAAAGTCATAGGGACCTTTAAAATTCAGCGTTTTTTATTCTCTGGAGGTACCCTGGCCAGTCTGTCTCTGCTGTTTCTCGTCATACTAATTGCTCTGCCTGAAAGGCAAGTAGGGGTAAATATAGCAGCAGTTTCTCTGATGTTACATTCTCAGACCAGGTCTGAACATGTCCTTGACACTGTCCCTTCAGAAGGAAAGAGGCGAGAAAGTATGTCCTTGCTACTGTGTATAAGAGAAACTTCTGTTCCCAGCCATTGCCTGGGCACAGGGGGGATTGGTGAGTAATAAAGAATTAAAAATAAAGAAGTGAAAGATGCTAGTGATTTGTCAGGTTTCCTGTGTCTGGCTGTCCCTGGCAGGCAGGCCAGAGCCAGACCCAGGCAGTCAGCGGTGTTTACTGAGGTGAGGTGGCCTGCTGCCCTGCACTGGAATCCACACGTGGTTCAACCACACGTGGTTCAACTTCCAGGTCTGCCTGTTGCATTTTAAAAAGTGTCCTGCCTACAGTGCTTTGTAGTTACTGAATCCGACTTTCTCCCCACTCTTTCTAGTCATTCATATATTATATTATATTATATTATATTATGTTATGTTATGTTATGTTATGTTATGTTATGTTATATTATATTATATATATATATATATGTGTGTGTGTGTGTGTGTGTGTGTGTGTGTGTATACTAGAGGCCCGGTGCAGGAAGGGGGGTGTCCCTCAGCCCAGCCTGCACCCTCTCAAATCTGGGACCCCTCAAGGAATGTCCAACTGCCCGTTTAGTCCCTCTCACAATCCAGGACTGCTGGCTCCCAACTGCTTGCCTGCCTGCCTTCCTAATTGCCACTAACCGCTTCTGCCTGCCAGCCTGATCACCCCGTATCCACTCCCCTGCCAGCCTGATTGCCTCTAACTGCCCTCCCTTTCAGGCCTGGTCACCCCTAACTGTCCTCCCCTGTAGGCATGGGTCCTCCCCCAACTTCCCTCCTTTGCCAGCCTGGTCATCCTAACTGCCTTCCCCTGCAGGCTTTAATGTCCCCAACTGCCCTCCCTTTCAGGCCTGGTCGCTCACAACTGCCCTCCCCTGCTGGCCTATCCCTCCCAACTGCCCTCCCCTGCTGGCCATCTTGTGATGGCCATCTTGTGTCCACATGGGGGCAGCCATTTTTTACCACATGGGAGCAGCCATCTTGTGTGTTGGAGTGATGGTCAATTTGCATATTACTCTTTTATTAGATAGGAGGAAATATATATATACATATACATACATATATACATACATATATATATATATATATACATACATATATATACATACATATATATATATATATATATATATATATATATATATATATATATATTTTAGAGGCCTGGTGCACAAAATTCATACACTTGGGATGGGAGGTCCCTCAGCCCAGCCTGTACCCCCTCTCAGTCTGGGGCCCCTTGGGGGATGTCCGCTTGCCAACTTGGGCCAGATTCCCAGGGCCTGAGTCAGCAGTCAGACATGCCTCTCACAGCCTGGGGCTCTCGCAGTCCCAGACCCCTCACTCCTTATCGCCCGCCTGCAGAGGAGGTGGGAGAGGCTCCCACGACTGCTGCTACACTTGCCAGCCATGAGCCCAGCTTCTGGCTGAGCGGCACTCCTCCTGTGGAAGCGCACTGACCACCAGGGGGCAGCTCCTGCATTGAGCGTCTGCCCCTTGGTGGTCAGTGCATGTCATAGTGATAGGTCATTCTGCCGTTTGGTCAATTTGCATATTAGGGTTTTATTATATAGGATATTTTTTGTTGAATTCAGAGAGGAAGAGAATCAGTGTCCTGCCTACAATAAAAATATTAATATATTGAATATATGTATATATATAAATTTATATACACACTTCTTTGCCTATTGATTACTTTTTCTTTCTTTTTTTATATATATTTCACTGATTTTTTACAGAGAGGAAGAGGAAGGGAGAGAGAGTTAGAAACATCGATGAGAGAGAAACACCGATCTGCTGCCTCCTGCACATCCCCAGTACATACCCTTGACTGGAATCGAACTTGGGACCCTTCAGTCCGCAGGCCGATGCTCTGTCCACTGAGCCAAACCAGTTTTGGGTACTTTATTTTCTTGTGATAGTACTCCTGGCTATGTGCCTACCTGTTTAAAGACAACTAGCCAAATTAACAGAGCAATTTTGTGCTATGAGTTAATGTTAACACTAATGTACATAAAATCTCTCACATATGCTCATTGCTCTATCAAAACTAGGACCCTTAATCTCCTCCCCCTTGTCCACAGAAGAGGACAGGGCTGACCCAGAAGAGTCTGTTTGTAAGCATCTAGCCTAATAGGTAGAGCGAAGAAGTGTTAGATATTATTTTACCAATTCTCATCTTAAGACAGGAAAACTGGGGCCCAGGGAGAGTAGATTGTTTAATAAAGCTTACAAATCCATTGAGTGGCTGAAGTAAGTATCCTAATGAATTCTAAACTCCCATTTAGACCTGACTCATTTTTCTAACCCCTCCTGATTCATCTCTACACTAATTAAAATGACTAGTCTTTAGGTTAACTGTCTTCCCTTTTTCCATCTCTTAGTGTGTTTGCTTCAGAATTTTAATTTTACACCTCGATGTGCCTGTAGAAGTAAAATTTCAGAGGAGATAGACATGCAACGAAATCCTATATAAAAGTGTAATAGGCAGCCGAAACCGGTTTGGCTCAGTGGTAGAGTGTCGGTCTGCGGACTGAAAGGTCCCGGGTTCGATTCCGGTCAGGGGCATGTTCATTGGTTGCGGGCACATCCCCGGTAGGGGGTGTTCAGGAGGCAGCTGGTCAATGTTTCTTTCTCATTGACATTTCTAGCTCTCTATCTCTCTCCCTTCCTCTCTGTAAAATATCAATTACATATATATATATATATATATATATATATATATATATATATATATTAAAGTGTAATATGCAAATCGACTGAACGATGGAATGACTGAGCAACGAGCAGGCGGCACCAGGCCAGCCAAGGTGCATGCCAATGGGCAGAGGGAAAGGATGGTGATCAGGAAGGGGGGGGCGGCAGCAACCAGCAGCAGAGGGGCATTGGGGGGAGCAGGGCTGGCTGAGGGACCACCCCCTCCCCACTGCATGAATTTTCGTGCGCTGAGCCTCTAGCCTTTAATAATCCAATTAAGTACGGGCTGAATGCATTCTGATTCTTCCAGTTCACAGCACAAAGAGTGAGCAACAGGTGTGGTTTATTATTATTACTACCATTATTATTATTATTGGGATGATGATGATGATTAGCATTATTACTATTATTAACATCATCATCATCATCACCAATTTGGCTTCCATTTGGAATTGGGTTACAGTTCAGTGTGTCTTACAAACCCAGCTGCTGCTCTTGCCCTGAGGGGGTGCACGGCACCCCGGTGGCTCCTGATGCTGACTCCTTTGTGATGGGGGGGAGCACTTTTGGGGGGAAGCCCCCACTCCAGCATGCTTGGGGTGGAGCTGCTGGAAAAGCTTAATTAAGTTCCTTCTAGAAAAACAGAGCTCAGCCTGTGGCATTCAAGCGCCATTTAGAGGCTAGAGAAATTCCCAGCCTGGGGCCAGTGTCTGCCTGGTGCCAGACCAACCAGTTTACAAAGCACTCTGAGAGGTAGGGATCTCAATAATAGGCAGGCTTTACAACGTTAAAAGGAAACAAAACAAAAACAGAAAGAAGAGGGTGGAGAGGAAAGAAAAGACAGACGCTAGCATGATTTGACAAGTGATACGTCCTGGACACATCTCACATCTCTCAGGGCTCTTTTCCAGTCTCCCCGATAATGAGATTTACCTCCATTTTCTAGAAACAGACACTCACAGGCCAGGCAACAAAGTGGCAGAACCAGTTGAACCCACAGCCTTTGGTTCCTGACCTTGTGAGCGGACCATCCACAGCCCCACAGGGGGAAACTGAATCCCAGGGTATTTATTCTTCCTAAGTTAAATGTACTGGAGTAACATGGATGAATAAGATTATATATACAATCCTACGATACATTATTTACATATTGCAGTATGTGCCCGCCACCCAAGACAAACCTTCTCACCCCTTTACTTCCCCCGCCCTCCAAAATGTTTTACATGATCAGCAAGGCCGCAGAGCTACCAAACAGCGGGGCTGGCATGGCCTGTGACTCAGATCTCAAGCTTGTGTTTTCAACAAGGCGCTTTGTTTGCTGATGAAAAACAGAAGGGCAGTGGAAGAAAAAGAGATGACACGCATAAGTAGATAAGATCATTTAGATAAGATCTGTTAACTTGGAATGGGGGTGTGATTTGTAGGAAGAAGTCCCTAAACCGAAACTTCAAACACACTACGGAATCACAATTCAGTTGAGCAAACAGGGTGTGAGATGAAGCAAATCCAGGAAACTATGCTGATCAGAGAACAAGCCCAATATTTCTCTTCCTGGCCTTAATCAAGTCTTTAAAACAACTTATTTTGTTGAATAATGTTCGTAATACAAAATTCAAAAGATAGACTATGAACAGTCACATTC